GTACAAATTGTTCATCTCTTTGGTTAGGTTCACCCCTAAGTCTGTTCTTGATACTTTAGTTAATAGAACTGTTTTCTTAACTTCCTTTTCAGATTGCTAGTATACAGAAATGCAATTGATTTGTGTGTCTTGATCTTGTATCCTGCAACTTTGCTGAATTTGTTTATTGGCTCTAACAATTTTTCTGTGTCGAATCTTTAGGGCTTTCTTCATATAAGATCATTGTTGTCTATGAATAGAGATAATTCTGCTTCTTGCTTTTCAATTGGGATGTCTTTTATTTCCCTTCCTTGCCTAACAGCTTTGGTTAGAACTTCCAATACTATGTTGGATAGAAGAGACAAAAGTAGGTATCCTTACCTTATTCCTAATCTTAGAGGAAGAGCTTCAATATTTCAACACTGAATATGATGTTTCCTGTGGGCCATATAGTACTTTTATGAGATAGTTTCCCTCTATTCCTAGTTTGTTGAGAGTTTTTATGATGAAATATAGAATTCTGTCAAATGCATCTTTTGCCTCAACTGAGGTGATCATGTGGTTTTGTCCATAATTCTGTTAATGTAGTATATTTCATTTATTGATTTTTGTAGATTGAACCATCCTCGTATTCAGATAAATCCCACCTGATTATGATATATAATCCAAGAATATGGTGTTCAATTTGGTTTACTAATATTTTGCTGGAGATTTTGCATCCATGTTCATAGGCATATTGGACTACAGTTTTTTTCTAGTGTCTGTATCTGGCTTTAATATCAGGGTGATTGCTGGTTTCATAGAATGAAGATACTTTATATGATATCTCTCTTTTAAAATCTACTGGGACTTAATTAGTGGCCTAACACATGGTTTATCCTGGAATATGTCCCATGTGCACTAAGAAGAAGGAGCATGCTGTTATTGGTAGAATATTCTACATATAACTGTTAGACCTGGTTGGTTTATTGCAGTGTTTATTTAATTTTTTCTCTTTCCTTACCTATCTTCTATTCTGGTTATTCTATTCATTAATGTGAGTGGGGTATTGAAGTCTCCAATTATTATATAGAACTCTCTATATTTTCCCCTTCAATTCTGTCAGTTTTTGCTTCATATCTTGATTGTCTATCATTAGGTACATAAATATTTATGATTGTTGTATCTTACAGCTGTATTAAATCTTTTAATTAATATATAATGTACTCCTTTGTCTATTGCAACATTTTCTGATTTAAAGTTTATTTTGTCTCATATTAGTACAGCCACCTGTTTGTTTTGGTTACTGTTTTCATGGAATATCTTTTCCCATTCTTTCACTTTCAACCTACTTATGTCTTTTGATGTAAAGTGAGTTTCTTGTAGAGGGCATGTAGTTGGATCATGTGTTTTTATCTATTCTGCTAATCTATGTCTTTTGACTGGAGAGTTTAATTCATTTACATTTACAGCAATTACTGATAAGGAAGAATGCACTTCTGTCATTGTGTTGTTTTCTAAATGCCTTATAGCTTTTTTGTTCCTTATTTCCTGCATCATTGTCTTTTGTCTTAGTTGATATTTTTATAGTGAAAGTTTTAAATTCTTTTGTCATTTTCTTTTGTGTATTTCTATAGCTGTTGTCTTTGTCGTTACCATCATGACTGCCTTTAATATTCTGATGCTCTAATTTGAATTCATACAAGTTTAACTTCAATAACATAAAAACTGTTCCTTTATAGGTCTGTCACCCTTTTAGTTGTTGATGTCACATAACTATATCTTCATACAAACAAATTAGTAATTCTTTTAAATGCATTATTATCTTAAATTATGTAGAAAGCAAAATGTGGAGTTTCAAAGTTTTAATAATACTAGCTTTTAGACTAATAATTATGAAACTTGAATTAGTCACTTAACCATATATAAAACCAAATGCTATAAAATGTTGTTATAATAATAGTAGTTTTTATAATTGCCCATATATTTACCTTTACTGACATCTTTATTTCTTCATATGGCTTCAAGTTACTATCAGAGTTTCATTTTACTCTGCAGGACACCCTTTAGGCTTTCTTGCTGGACATGGCTGGTGGAAATGAACTCCCTCAGCTTTTGTTTATCTGGGGAGGTCTTTCTTTCTGTCTCATTTTTGAAAAATAATTTTGTTGAATAAAGCAATCTTGGTTGAGTTTTATTCTTTAGCACTTTGACTATATCAGCCTACTACCTTCTGGCTTCTGAAACTTCTGATGAGAAATCTGCTGATTATCTTATTGAGATCCTGTATGGGATGTGTTGCTTCTCTCCTGCTCTCCCTCATTTTTGAAGGATAGCTTTGCTGGATATAGTATTTTTGGCTAATAGCTATTTTTTTTCTTCAGCACTTTGAATATATCATTCTATTGCCTTCTGCTTGCAAGGTTCTGCTGAGAATCTTCCGAAAATCTTATGCAAGCTCTCTTGTATATGGTAAGTCACTTTTCTCTTGCTGTTTTCAAGAGTCTGTCTTTAACTTTTGACACTTTGATTGTAACATGTCTCGGTGTGAGTCTCTGGTTTAACCTCATTGGAATTGAGCTTCATGAAATTGTATGTCTATTTCTTTCCTCAGATTTGGGAAGTTGAGGGTCACTCTTTTTTCAAATAAGCTCTCTGCTTCTTTCTCTCTTCTCTTCAGACTCCCATAATGCATATGTGGTCCACTTAATGATGTCCCACAGTCCCTTAGGCTCTCTTCAATTTTCTTCATTTTGTTTTTTGTTCCTCTGTCTCAATGATTTCAAATGACCTTTCTTCAAGTTCATTGACTGTTTTCTTCTGCCTGTCAAGTCTGCTGTTGAATCCCTCTAGTGAATTTTTTAGTTCAGTTATTATACTTTCCAACTCCAGAATATGTTTGATTCTAATAGTTTTTTAATACTCTCATTTTGTTCATGCATCATTTTCATGCTTCAGTTAGTTGTCTATCCCTGTTCTCTTTTAGCTCCTTGTGCATTTTTTAAGAAGATTTATTTATTTTAGAGAGTGAGAGTGTGTGCACACGTGTGCATGCGTGAGAAGGAGGGAAGTGCAAGAGCAGAGGGAGAGAAAGAATCCCAAGCCAACTCTGTGCTGAGCACAGAGCCTGTTGCAGGGCTTGATCCCATGACAACTCGAGCCAAAATCAAGAGCTGAACGCTTAACTGACTGAGCTACCCTGGCGCCCCTCCTTGTGCATTTTTGAGATAGTTTAAAAACATTCTTTGTTAGGGAGTTGAGAGATCTGTGTTACTTTATGGTTGGTTTCTGGAGTTTTATTCTGTTCCTCTGACTGGGACATAATTTCCAGTTTCTTCATATGCCTTGTAATCTTTAGGTGAGGCTTAAGCATTTGGAAAAAACAAACAACCTTCTCAGTCTATTCACTGAGTTCATGCAGGGTAAGATCTTCACCAATTAGCCTGAATAAAGGTTCTGGATTTTCTCAGAACTTTCCTGGGGATATGTTTTCACTGGGCTTGTATCTGTGCTTTTATCTGTCTTAATTTCCTAAATGGCTTGCCTTTGTTTCTTCTCAGGAATGCCGCCTCTTGCTCCCCTGGTACTTGCCTGTGGAACTACAAAATTCCTGAAGCTCTAACATGTGGCAGTGCTCACCTCTCTTTTCAGCAGCTTTCAAATTATACCACTATTCCCATCAGTGATTTGAGTCATGTGAGACAAAAACTATCCGTTGGGCAGCTTCCTAACAAGCCAGGGCACTGGACTCAAAGTCCACTCTTTTGTTTCCACCCTGAGGGAGGAGATGGGGTGTGTGAGGTTTCCTACCAGTTGCACCATGCTACAGTGTGTAGAGGAGGGGCATGGACACACAAAATAATACTCCTTTCATTGAGTCCTTTCTTGATTATGCATTTTCTTGGGTACTAGAGATTCTCAATTATCTCCAGAGTTTTCACAGAAGTATACTGGTCCATATATTTTTAATTTGTCATTTCCATTGGAGAACAATAGCCTGGAGCTCCTTTGTCTATGATCTTGGTGATGTTGCCCATATAATTCTTAAAGTCCTAAGTTATTTTGTTCTAATCTGGACTGAATGCTCTCTAGGTCTACTATCAACATAATTTTAGGAGAGATCTCGTGTTCTCTGGATCCTGTGCCTCCCTCTTTATTACTCCTCCATTCTCATTCTTTTGATGCATACCTTTAGGTAACCAAAGAAATGGGGCGTGAGGGTATTTTTTCAAGTTCCTACATGTCTTTATGTTACACTCACACTTGAATAATAGTTTGGTTGAGTTTAGAATTCTAAGTTGAAAGTAATTTGTTCCATCCAAGTGCTTTGGGTGAGCAGACAGAAAGCTGGCAATTAAGTTTAAGGATCCCTAGAAATCAGAATGCAGAAAAGTTTTTCTGGAATACCAACTCTATACTTAGGTGCCTTCGTTTATGACAAATGGTTCATTCAATGTTTTTGATCCTCTGACTTTCCCCCTGAAATTAGGTAGCCTGATGACTGAAATTTCTGTACTCAAGAATGGAGAGGCTGTCAGTTCTATCTACAAACTTTTAACAGAGTTTAACAAAGTTTAACAAAGTTATGGCCTATCTCTGAATTCAACCCTCTTATATATATCGTGTTTCTGAGTTGAAAACTCTCTGCTCTAAAGGGTGGATTTCCTCACTCCTTGGCTGCATGTATTATAGCCTGTGGCTTTCTCTGCCTAGCTTCACCAGTGACAATCTTACATTTCCTTTAGTTCTTTTAGTTTTCATTCAGATCTGTTGCCCTTCCCCTTATCTTCATTGCCATGGATTTATATCTTTATCTATTCCTTTACTATTCTTTTTAATGGAATCTTAAGAACTGGAGGGATAAGTGAATGTACTTAATTTTGAATTAGAAGACAGCATATACCATTTTAATAGGGATTTTTTGGTGGGGATGGGAGTACAAGGAGGGAATAAGGTCAAAGACTTTACTACTAGATTTGCCATCACTTCTGTTTCTAATTAAGACTTGTGCAGAAGACACACCCTCATAATTGTTATGTTACCTCTTCCTCCATGACATAAGTGAGCAGCTTCCAGTCCCACTCCACTGTCTTGGCATTAGCTGGATGTAGCCTGAAAGTCAAATGACACCAATTAGAATTCTGGAGAGTTCAGTGGAAGAGGGGATAGGATGTGGAAGATGACAGAAACAAGAAACCTCCTTTTATTCTCACTACTCTTGCAGATCCTTTGACATGATACCATGTCACCTGAGGGTAGTGGAACTTTCACTAACCACTTCTCTTTTGGAAGGCACTAGTAACCCAATTTTGCCTTGAAGAAATCAATACTTTATTACTCTAGCCCATTAGCTTTATCTACTAGGATCCTATGATGAAGCCTATGAAGCATATTTAGCCAATCATGATAGTCTATCCTTCAGTTCACAGTGATTGGTTTAAAAAAAGAGCTCATGTCCTATGTTATGGAAAATAAAGCCTACAAGACTCAACTTCAGAAATCTTGTGTGATTATAAAGGAAGTGGACTCTCTGTCTCATAAAAGCTGGAAGCTGAAAAGACTACTAAGTAGATCCTGAAAAGAAGAGCAAAGCAGGGCTGAAAAATGGATCCTGGTAACAATTTTGAACTGAATTAAATCTTATTCCTAGGTTTCTAGTAACATGAATAATCAAATTCTCTGTTATCAGCTGTTAAAGCTAGTTTGGATTGGGTTTCCTGTCACTTGCAACCCAAATAACACTGACATACTAAGTCACACTCTTGAATGGTTAGCTGAGTCAAGCTTAGGCAGGAGAAAGCTGTGCCCTGAGTCCAGGTTCCCTAGGAGAGTCACCAACATCTAAGGTTCATACTGTTGAATTTTCATGAGAAGCATATAGGCCTCCTTTAGGACATCCACGGTCTCGGAGCCACTGAGCAGGATTTTCTGGATGATGTGAGCCACAATTTCTCTGGGTGGGTAATGCTGGGGTGACACAAAGTCCATCAAAAACTGCACAGTCCCCAGGGGAAAATTTTCTTCAATGGTGTTTGTTACCATTCTTAGTCTTCGATGAGGAATGGGTTCTAATTTTTGACCCTTACTCTGTAGAGATAAAAAGAAAGAAATTAGGATAGGTTTCTACAGACATAAAAACAAAAGGTTCTGAAACAGCTTGAAGACAGCAAAATTTTCCATGCATTTGAAATATTCATAATTAAAAAAGAAAAAGACTGAATAGCCTTATCTAAAAAACTTTTAAGGACATGGGAAAATACTTAATATTAAGTTAAAAAATAAGAATTTGAAGTTGTACATATGATTGCATCTGTGCTAAAATATAGCATAGAAAAGAAAGTACAAAAGAGTCAAGAGCTAGCCTAAGTTGATTTCGGAGTGAGGGTGAGAAAATAGTTAAGGGTAGTTATGATACTATATCAGATACTGAAATAGAGTGAAGAAAGGCGTTTTAAATATGTTTTATTGTTAAAAAAGAATCTCATTTAGTTGATTTACTGTCAACAGTAAATGTTAAGTTACTTCCCCTACACTCCCTAAAAGTAAGTATCTAAAAAGATTTGGAAAGAATATGTGAAAAGTGGTTTTCTATTTTCTGGGTGGTGGGTGGAATAATGACTCTCCTTTATATGCTTTTTTGCATTTTTCCATAACAGATACATATTAGTTTCATAATCAGAGGAAAAAAGTTTAAAAGTTTTTTGATATTAGAATATAATAACAACAATAAGAATAATTTTTGAACATTTGACTTATCCTCACTTAAATTCTCACAACAACCTAATAAATACATATTATTATTCCTATTTTATAGATAAGGAAACAGATTTAGAGAGTAACCATTTGGCATGTAGCAAATGGCAGAAACTGATTTCACATATGGGGTGATATAACACCCCAGATCTACCCTCTAAATTCACACTTCCTTTTAAACAATAAAATAAAATAACTATATTTTTGTTAAAAATCCCCATTATTAAAAAATTTTAAATGCTTATGTATAAAAAGGCAACTTAGCAGGAAATACACCAAAATTATTAACAATAATAAATCCTGACTAATAGCACAATAAGTAATTATTTGTTTTAAAATGTTTTATATTAAATAAGCATTATTTTTTTAAATCTGAGAATAAGTATTAAATTTAAAACATCAACTAAAGATTTGACAGCTTATATATAACAGTAAAACAGTGATGGCTAGAACTGTCCATTCAGAAAATCTGCAGAAGTCCAGTGAGCTTTCCTTATGTCTCAAATCACCTGAAGGTAACCCTGATCTCACTGACCAAAGACCAATACTGTATCTGGCAGGTAATGAAAATTAAGAGCCAGAGAAGAGAAAAACAAAAAAATCTTACTTTGGTGACTATTTTACTTGTGAGGCACTTTACCTATATTTGAACTTTTTCATTTCTTGCCTACAAATGGGGACATCTACAAATAGATAAAAGTTTACAAAATCTTTTGATGCCCATATACTTAAGGGGCACGAATACTTATAAAACATTTCTTTAGGCCTTGAAAGGCGACTTTGTGCTTTATGTGTTTTTGGTTTTGTTTCTGTTTTTTTTTAAAGACTTTATTTACTTGACAGAGAGAGACAGCGAAAGAGAGAATACAAGCAGGGGGAGTGGAGAGTGAGAAGCAGGCTTTCGGAGGAGCAGGGACCCTAATTCAGGGATTGATCCCAGGACCCCCGGATTATGACCTGAGCCAAAGGCAAACGCTTAATGACTGAGCCACCCAGGCGACCCTGTGCTTTATGTGTTTACTTTTAAGTCAAACAACTTTATGATATGCTCATTATGACTTATTTTAGAGCTAAACCAAGACTCAGAAGATTTAGAGGCAATTAATGGTATGTGGCAGCATGGGGACTGGCTAAGAAGTTCTGGGAGAAAATGACCTAGTGAAGAAGTACTTATTAAAAGCCCAAAAGAAATCATGGGAGAGACAGAAAAGATTTACAGGTGAATGCTAGATGGCCAGGGTTCTTTAAAGAAACTGAGACAAAGAAATCCCTTTTGTTTGGCCTAACTGCCATCTTTTTACCTAAGCTATGTTTACTTAGAAAGGGAATGTGGTATCCCCATTTACATCTACTGGTGGCTTCTCTAGTTGTGCAGCACCTACAAAGCACTACAGCCTTGACTAGGGAAACACTCCCTCTCTCAAATCCCCCAAATGCTCTTTATAATGACCTGATGTATCACCAGGCATACCCACAGGAAAAAAGAGAATGAGCTAGTGGCTGGGGAGAGTCATTCAGAAGAAGACCTAAAACATATGAGAAGATATAACAACAATAAAAATGAGAGAAAAAAATTCACTCTTCAAGGCAAAATCGACGTGAATGCCTGATACATACTATGCCGGATTGCTGATTGCTCCAAGAATGCACCTTTTGAATTCCTGTCCTACCTCAAGCCAGTCTTCTTAATGTTGACAATAAAGTTATGAATAATGAAAAAAATAGCTCATTATTACAGTAGACTAATAGTAGACAAATAGACTCAGCCACAATTTTTTTTCCTTACATCTGCTAAGACAAGCATCTGGTTTAGTTCTCATAACTAAATAAAGACCAATGGAAAGTAGCATTCCCGTTAAAATCTTAAAATTGAATTTCCTCCTGCAAATCAGAAAGTAATGATTTTGGAGGCACCGAAGTATCCAGAGTATCACCATCTCTGTAATATGGGAGCGGTAATAAGGGCATCAGGAAGGGGAAGGCAGAGGAATTGAAGAGAAGTAATTGATGAAGGCCTAGAAGGAGCCAGACACTCTAATAGGCACTTTATATATGTTGTCATTTAATCATCCTGTGATGTGTGTTCTTATCTCCATTTTACATCTAAGAAAGCTAGGGCTCAGAAAGGTATAGTGACTTCTACAGTGCCAATTGCTAACTGAAATTTGAACCCAGGTCTGACTCAACACTAGATGATTCCACAAGAGGAAAGATAAAAATTTCAAATTTATCCTGGGCCTGTTCTCTCATGCATGGACTCCTTACAGCATAGTGACTTCATGCAAGGCCTATACAGAGGACACCTAATTTCTTGGGGAAGATATGTTAGCTCACCTCTCTTGTGTCTTTATCTGGTATTAATGTCTGGAAGAAGAGGTGATGCACTGGAGGTCGTAAGAAGTACTTCAGTCTATGCAGGCATGGTCTGTTGTATAACCCACCTTGTGGTGTTCGTGCTTGTACCTGGGCAGACCCGGGGTTAGCAGGCTCTGACAGTGATCTCTCTTTTCTGGCTGGAGTTTCCGTGATGGGGAGCCAAGGAACTTTCTGTAAGGAAGTTTCAGTCTGTGGAGACTGTGGGCTGGGAGAGAACCTTAGTGAGGATGGAGCTGAGACTTCCATAGGAGTGTCATGGTTCTGTATATCATTTTGGAAAGAGTGAGACCTGTCTTGTGGTAAGTGAGGCAAGTCTCCAAGTGAGTGTGGCATGTCTCCTGGCAAGCATGGCATGTCTCCAGGTGAATGGACCATATCTCCTGGGAAGTCTGGGACTTCTCCAGGGGAATGCGGCACACTTTCTGGTGACTGTGGCACATCTTCTGGTGACTGTGGCACGTCTGCTAGTAACTGTGGCACATCTGCTGGTGACTGTGGCACATCAAATGATGACTGTGGCACATTTTGTAAATGTGCCACATTTTGTGGATAAGGTATGCTTTGCGGTGGGCCTGGTACATCTTGAGGTAGGCCCCGAGAATCTTGAGGTGGGCACAGTGAGGCTTGAGGTGGGTCAGGTGAGTGCTGAGGTTGCCATGATGAGTCTGGACGTGGGCTTGGCACATTCTGCTGAAGGCATGGCATATCTCGAGAAGGGCATGGAACTTCTTGAGGCAGGTGAGTCAAAGCTGGTACTTGGCACTGCACGGTTTGTGATGGGCATGACAAAGCTCGTGGTGGGCATGAGGAGGCTCGTGGTGGACATGGTGAGGCTCGCAGTGGGCATGACAAGATTCGCAGTGGGCATGGCAAGGCTTGAGATGGACAAGGCACATCTTGCTGTGGGCATGGCAAGGGTGCTTTCTGATTGCTTGTTGGGGAGAGGGAGCAAATATCTGAAGATAGCTGTAGGCTTGCCAAGAAGCCAAGGTCACCTTTGAATGATGTTGAGCTACAATTTGGCTCTGCTGGATAAACAGAGTCCCCACTGATGGATGTAGGGGGTTGTGGACCTTCAAATGTGGTTTCTTCCAAAAGGTCCAAATCCACAGGATCGCTGTTAATGATTCTCCGTGCTGTAGGCCAAGAGCTTCTGTCTACCCGCCCTTCTGTCACCTCTTTGCTGGAGAGGCTGGCACATGTCTGAAGACTGGCTGGCTCTTTCTGGGAAGGAGCAACAGGTTCTAGAGTCAAGTCAAGAGTGGCGATAGGTCTGTTTTCTTCCTCAGTTCTTGTCAGGTCAATCACACAGAGTCCATTGCGATCCTTTGCCCTTGGTCTGGTTTCTCTAGTTAAGTCAATGAAGTCCTGTTAAAGGATTGTGAGAATATAAGAGGTCAAGTATGCTTTGCTTTATCTAAGAAGATTTACATCTGAGCTTTTAAGGATAATCATATTTTACCTTTTCAATTCATTGATAATTTATACATTTTATATAACATAAGCATTAATTTATTTCCTTTGGTTGAAATTTTGCTACTGTCAATTTCTATACCTTCCTAAGTTATCCAAGTACCACATGCATATAATTGAGGGCATAGTGGGAAATTTTCTCTGATCCAAAGTAAACAGGGGAGAAGTTGGGAAGATTTCAACCTTAAGTCACATGGGAAAAAGCAACCTTTGTTTTGAAAACCAAATACACAGGATAATTTGCAACAGGGACTAAAGAAGGAGGTAAGCTAACATAAGAGAATCTACTATGTACTAACAACATATTGAGTGTTTTCATGTATCTTTAATTTTCATAATATTCCTACCAGGTAGGCATTATAATCTCCATTACACAGATGGGGAAAATGGAGATCAGAGGGGTTAGGTCATTACCTAAGGATTATATAATTAAGTCACAAAGACAGACATTCAAATCCAGGTCTGTATCCTTCTTTCTCTGTATAATTTCATTCAACATATAACCAGTCAGATATATAGAATAATACAATAACTGTTGCAAAACCAACAGGGTAAGTCTGAATCCTAACTAGGTTAATTACTGGAAAACCTCCTATCTTTACTTCCATTCCTTGCCAAAATGATTAGGCAGTTCATAAATCCTGATGATGCCAGCCAATCTCTATGCCATAAGCCTGGAAAAATATTATACTCCCTTTCATTCTCAAAATTGTCTCAGTGTGGATGACAAATAATATCACCCTAATTACTGATCAGTCTCATCGACAATATGAATGTAAATATCCTTCATAAAGTATTAGCAAATTGATTCCAGTATTTAAAAAAAAAAAGCTCCATTTCTGATCAGAAGGGCTAGATACTCTGATTACCAACCGAATAAAAGCTAGAATTGATATATAAATGTAAAAACATGGGAGGAGATATAACAAGAAAAAAACAACCAAAAGAAAGCCAATATAGCTATATTAATATCAGACAAATTAGATTTCAATGAAAACAGCATTACTAGAGATAAAGAGGTGACTGTACAATAAGACTTAATTCATCAAGATATATTAATTTCAAAACTGTAAGCCTAGGGGTGCCTGGGTGACACATTTGGTTAAGTGTCTGCCTTCTGCTCAGGTCAGAACCCCAGGGTTCTGTGTAGGGCTCTCTGTTCAGCAGGTAACCTGCTTCTCCCTCTCCCTCTGCCTGTTACTCCTCCTGCTCATGCTCACTCTCTCTCTCTCTGGCAAATCAATCAACCAATCAATCTTTAAAACTGTATGCCTAATAACAGAATCTTCATAAAACAAAAATAGATACAGGTACAAGGAGAAAAAGGAATATCCATAGTCATTGTGAGAAATTTTTACATGTCTTTCTTGATTGCTAGATCATGCAAATAAAAAAATTATTATGGATACAGAAGATTTGAACACATTTAACAAGCTTCATCTACAGGACTCAGATAGTTATTCATAATTACATCAAACATTTATAAAATTTACCAGATACCAGGAGTCAAAGTATATCTTAATCAATATCAAAAGATTATCACTCAGATCAAAATACTATTAAGTTAGGAAGTAATACAAAAAAGTAACTAGGACAAACTCCATATTGCAAATTAAGAAGTATGACCAAATAACATACAGGTCAAAAAAGAAATCATAGAAATTAGAAAAATTTTAGAACTGAACAATAACAAAAATACTAGGTATTAAAATGTTACATGCAGCAAAATAACTGTATAGAAAAAATTTACACTTAGACATTTAATTAGAGAAAGAAAATGGAAGAAAGTTAATGTTCTAACCACACACCTTTAGAGAGCGGAAAAAGGACAGAATAAGCCCAAAGAAAGCAGAACAGAGGAAATAATAATAGTGCAGAAATGAATGAAACAGAGAACACAGAAGAGAAGTGCAATAATGTCCCAGGTTTGTTCTTTTAAAAGATTATTAAAGTTAGCAAAATTAGCAAACATAATAAGAAAATTAAGACAACAAAGGCACAAATAACCAATATTAAGAATGAAAAAGGGACAAAATTACACACGTTTTTAAAATAAAAAAAGATGTTATGAACAATTCTGTCAAAAAAGCTTCGGATCTTGGATGAAATAGATAAATCCCTGAAAAAATAAAGCTTACCAAAACTGACTCAAGAAATTGGATGATGGGTATGTGGGTGATCATTATATAGGTTGCTTTATTTTTCATGTTTGAAATTTTTCATAGGGGAAAGTTATTTTTCAAGTTGACTTAAGAAGAAAGAAAAAATCAAAACAGCCCTTTAATCAATAAAGAAATGAAATCAGTAGTTGAAATTTTTTCCTTCAAAAAATTCCAGACCAAGGTGATTTTAAAAGGAGAGTTCTGCTAAAAACTCAAAGAAAAAAATGATTCTACTTTACATAAGCTATTTAAAAGAATTTAAAAAACGAAGGGATACCTCCAACTCATATTATGACTTAGCATAAACTTGATCCAAAATCTGAAAGTACAAGGAGGAAATATAAGTCAATATCACTTCTGCACACAGACATAAAAATCTTAAACAAAATACTATAAACTTGGTCCAGCACAACCAACGTGAGTCTACCTAGGAACCATACCTAGTTTAGCATTAAAAAAATTAATATAACTTGCCACATAAAGGAGAAAATCATATGATCATGTGAAGAGGCCAAAAGCATTTGATAACAAATTCAAACTCCAGTCTTAAAAGGAAAAAAATAAATTCTTGGGGCACCTGGGTGGCTCAGTCAGTTAAGAATGCAACTCTTGATTTTGACTCAGGTTGTGATCTTGGTCCTGAGTTAGAGCTGTGCACTAGGCTTTGCACTAGGCGTGGAGCCTGCTTAAAATTCTCTCTCTCCTTCCCTCTCTAAAAAAAAAAAAAATCTCGAAATAGAAACAAAAGAAAACATCCTTAACTATTAAAATTTACTTACAAATCACACACAGTAAAACATTATACTGAAACACTGAAAATATTCCCTTTAGGAGCACAACAAAGGTGCCTACTGTCACTAATTCTATTTAGTACTATACCAATGCTATACATACGATACAGGAAAATAAGAAAAGATATAAAAAGTAGAAAGATTAGAAAGACTAAAAATGTCCTTCATGAATAAAATGATTATTTATATGGGAAACTCAAAATAATCTATAGAGAAATATCAGAATAAGAATATTTATCATGACTGCTGGATATAAAAATTACATTTTTTTACACTTCAACAACAGTACCACCATGTTGCATAATTCCCACATCACACAACTTCAGGGGAAATCATTCCTATATTCTATATGAATTGCATCCTCTAGGGCAAAGTTCTAGGCAATCCACACAGCAACAATACAAAAATCTTTATATACGTGCATACATGTGTTTTTAAAAAGATTCTTATTTATTTATTCATTTGCTAGAGAGAGAGAGTTAATGAGTCCAACAGGAGGAGCAGCAGGCAGAGGGAAAATCAGGCTGCCCTCCGAGCAGGGAGCCCAACATGAGACTTGATCCCAGAACTCTGAGATCAAGATCTGAGTCGAAGACAGACACTTAAACTGACTGACCCATCCAGGCATTCCATGTTTGCTTCTTTTTAAAAGATTTGTTTGAGAGAGAGAGAGAGAGAGAGAGGGAGGGGCAGAGAGACAGAGAGTCTTAAGCAGACTCCATGCCGAGCATGGAGCCTACCCAGAACTTGATCTCACAACCCTGAGACCACCTGAGGCAAAACCAAGAGTCAGTTGCTTAACCCACTGAGCCACCCAGGTGCCCCAATATGTACACTAGATATATTTATGAGTGTGTATGTATATACATCTATGTATACACATGTATGCATGTACATGGGTACACACACACACACACACACACACACACTACATGTGGCAGTTATTTTTGTGGGTTGCCAAACATTTCCAGTTATTTCCTTAATGGTACATGTTAGACTATACTTCCTGAATCCTATGATTAAGTGGGGTTATGTGATTAATTCTGCCCAATAAATTATGAGTTCAAGTAACATGTATTACTTCTGGGCTCGGCCTTTTAATTTCTGGATGCAGATACAGCAAAGCCTTCTTTTCCCTCTGATATGTCTCATGCCCATGTTTAAGATAGTGGCAGCTCTGTCAGCCTGTGTCCCCACATGACTATGATATGCAGACATACTTCTTCCTCTAACCAACGTGTAAAGGACATGTGGTAATGTAAATGAAAATAAACCTTGTTTTAAGCCACAGTATAACCTAGCTTATCCTGACACACACACTACTTGGGAATAAACTTAAGAAGAGATGTGTAGGATCTGTGTGAAAAAGTATTACAGAAACATACTGAAGAACACTAAAGTAGGCCTAAATAAAAGTATATACCATTGTTCATGAATTAGAAGACTCAGTGTCATAAATATTCCAATTCTCTCCAAATTGATGTATGAATTCAATACAATTTCAAAGTCCAAACAGGTTTTATTGAGGAACTTGAGAAATTAACTCAAAATTTGAATGGAAAAACAAAAGACCAAATATAGCTAAGACATTTCTTAAGACGACAGTGTGGTACTGGCACGAGACAGTCAAACAGATAAATGGCACAGAAGAGCAAGTTCACAAATAGAGCCATACATATAAGAAAATTTGATTTATGTCAGAGGTAGTATTAAAGATTAGGAGGAAAAGATGGAACTTTCCATTAATGGTACTGGTTATGTATTTGGGGAAAAAATGAAGTAAGATCTTGACTTCATGCCAAAATCATAAATCAGTTTCAGATTTATTAAAGACTTAAAATAAAAAAGACCCAACTAAAAAATTTTTAGAAAAAAATCTGAGAGAATATCTTTATAATCTTTGTGTAAGGAAGAATTTCTTAAAATACAAAGTAGAAACCAT